AGTCCCATGTTTCTGAAATTTACGTGTTTTGATTTCAATTTTTAAAACACGTAAATTTCAGAAACACGTTATTCCAAAAAAAAAAAATTCGCTTGAAGATGGAACAGAGCTTATTTTAACTCAATTTAATTTAAATAATTATATTGAAGTTTTCGGCTCTTGTTTTGAAACATGGGACTTCTTATGTCACGATTTGGAATCATATTTTTAAATAAATAATTATATATATATATATATGTATCTATTACAAATTAGTCATAAACATCTGTACCTATAATAGTATATATTTATTTACAGTATTATTAATATTAAGTGGGGAGGAGTGGTCACCTAATGGATGGGTCAAAGTTTGACACTGGAAAGACGAACCCTAAAGTCTAATAGAACAGCATCAGAACTGGTTCGCCCAAAGTGTGTAAGCGAATACCATTTTCGAATAGGCCTATCGCGTCATCACGATCATCTAAAACATTATCCTTTTGTCTCTTCAGAATGACGCATGCCTGTGTATTATGAATAAACCCTGAATCCTATAAGATCTCATATCTCAAAATAAACTATTGTGTAGCATTGTCAGTATATAACTGTGGCTTGCGCTGTTTTGGGTGTCAAACTACGCTCATCGCTTCGTAGTGGGGCAGCTAGGCTGCCTTCAGGCTAATATCCCGAAACCGCATCATCTCGATTTCTCACTGAAAATCAAGAACCACCTCTTCACTAATCGGAAGATTTGGTCATAATAATGAATGACACAAGGCGTGAAGCCAGTATCGTTTAACAGGGAATGATTCCTGACCACGCATTAGCGATGGTTGGAGGAAGTGTGTGAGAGACCGTCCCTATTCAAACCATTTTGGGGCCATTCACTTGCAACCAAAATAAAAAAAAAAAACTCGCTAAAAACTATTCTTACTCTCAAATCTCATCTTTTTACTTGTTCCTGATTAGTCAATTCAAATAACAATGAAAAGTTACACCATATCCTGTTCCCTATACTCTTTCTTTTTTTGCGGAAACTGTGACCGTCCACTGTCTCTGTCAAATATATCATATTTCAGAAATCCGATAGATTTCTAATAACCTGTGTGTCTATTTATTAGTTAGGAGAATTTTTTTTTATACGTGAAATTTTTCCATTTTAAACTTCACCCACAATGTTACAATTGTATTTATTTAAAAAAAAAAAAAACAAAAAAAGATAAGCTGAAATGTCTGTTTTTGCTTATCACACACACACACACACACACACACACACACACACACACACACACACACATATATATATATATTAAAAATATTAACAATATTAGATTGCTTATACTTTATGAATTGAAGCGCAATACTAGATTGGCGGCAAAGTTTCATCCTTTTACATTTGAAATGAGGTGATGTAGCCATAAGTTCTATGTTAACAATTTCTTCTATCGCACTTCTCGCTTGTGGAACTCTCTTCCGGTTTTCTGCTTCCCAGTCAAGTTTGATCTTCAAAAATTTAATTGCATTGTCAATCGTTATCGTCTGTCTTCTTGATTCTTGCTCTTGTAGTGTTCTCTCCCTTTAATGGTGTTTTTTCTCATATTTTCTAACACTCACTAACCCCTTGCATCTTAGTGGCTTTATTACCTTGCTTGGGGTGAAATGACCGAAAAAATACCAATATTATTATGGAAAAATTATATTTTAAATAAATAAAATCCGATATACACCGTATTCGTTTAATTTTCAACTTGTGAAAATTCTTTGTTGGATAGGTGTTCCTCAGCTCTGGCCATATTTACCGTTTATGTATTGGTCATGTCTATCTTAGTAGGTGATGCGGTTATGGCGCCCTTTCAATCCGGTAACCTAACAGGAACAGCCGATGGTACATTGTAATAGCGTACTGTGAGGATTCGGAGAGCCAAGTTCAAATTTTCAGTCGGATCCATTACATTTAATTGGAAAGGTATAGATCCATGTTCTTCTCCCCCACAGCTTTGGGTAAATAGCAGGACAAACTGAGTTTTATATCCTTCAGTGGTAAACGGTCTAGGTGAAAGTAACTCTGAATTCAAAACTGTATGATGCCCTGACGTAACACATACTATACTGCTAAAGAAAAGATCCTTTGCATTGGCTCGATGATAACGACAATCGAATAATGTGGGAAAGAATAGTCCATTATCCTATTGCGCTTCGTCCTGGTAGAGGTAGATGTAACAGTATGTCCTGTTATTTATTCCATAGGTGGTGGAGACAAGATGAGATGGATTTATACCTTACCCAAGGGTATTTGTGCGTAAGTGAATGAAATGAACTCGACTGAAATTTGAACTCAGCTCTCCGATTTCTCATTCGAAGCTGTTATCCATCAGACCACATGCACATCAAAGCTTGCAGCACCTGGTATTCCCATGCGATCAATCATCTAGGTAATGACCAGCCTCACCGTTACTTAACCTCGGTGATACAACGGGAAGCAGTGTTTCAACATGATATGGCCTTAACATCATGTAATGATAATATCTTTGAAAAGACAAAAATAAGTTATCGTATAGACACTTCAGAGGATTTCAATTACCAGAGAAGACAGGTACATTAGCGAATTATTTATCTGCAAGATTTATTGTAACAAAGTGCCAATGGCTACTCCGACATGTAAATATCATTTTGCACACTTGGAAACAGCCTACCAAATGGATATCTCTTTCACGATGTTCACGTTTGTAGAAAGCATCCAAATCCTCACGACAAGTTGAAAAAGTTAGGAAGGAAAACCCCTATTTGTGTAGATAAGATAGTAAACAGCTACACAGTTGTTCTCTTTCCATCTTACATTTTTGAGAGAAAAATAATATATTTAATGTGTCCTATCTTATACAATTAGATATAAATATGTGACTATTTTTAAGTATAATGTCAGCACTTGAGGAACCTGATATCCTGAAAAAGTTTTGTTAGAGAACGATTCTATTATGCTATTTAAATAGGTTCGAGAATCGATCGTCTTAGCATTGAATTCAGACTTCAAGATCAAAGTATTTTAAAAAATAGAAAGCGACAATCGATCGATTGAAGTTCTCTTTCTTTTTCAGGATATCATTCAAGTTAAGTAAGTTACTACGAACAATTGAAGCCATCCGAACTTATTTATTTAAATAGCCAACAAATAAGAATTTTGGCTCTTTAAACAGCCAAATGAATAGCACCAATCTCTAACAAAAAGAAAACCTAACAATACTTGAAAGAGAGTTCAAATAACAGAAACCAGCAGAAGAGATTCAATAGCAGTAACAACAAAAATGGATAGCACATGTAACACGAAGAGAGAGTAATGGCATAAGTAAGGTGCTGACGTTCCACACTACCTCAAAGAAAAGGTTAGGAAGAAAACCTTTATCAACTGAGGCAAGTGCATAAACAACCACTGAAAATGTTTCTAGAGAAGGATTTTATAAATTTCAACTGACAGGAGCACTTACTGTTCGGTCAATGAATGGTGAATGTTTTTATAAGGACATAGCTAATATTACCATCACGGTTAGAGGCGAGGGGAACAGATGCTACACTTTGAACTCAATGATTATAATGATGCAGTGGTTAACAAGATATTCTCATAGATCATTAGTACTATGTAAAGTTTTCGATCCATATTAGGTGACTTACATATCATAAGTGTTTTCTTCTCTCTTCATTTTCAGAAACTTTTTTTATTTTTAGAGCAGTAAATAATTAAGTTTTTTTTTCGTAACATGAAAACTCCATTTTTTTTTCTTCTGTAAGCTAGTTAATAGCAGGTGGTCTAAATTAAATTTAATATCAATAATAAACATTTATTCTTGGAAGAGCTTACCTGTGATGACTGTATTGTGTACGGGGCTTACTCAATGAGAAACAAAAATTGACTTTCAACTCACTTTCACCCCCAGTGAAACCAGGTGTATTAGCCGGTTGACCGGGAAGGTGAACTACCCAATGCGGATTCGCGCCTCAGTGGCTGGGACCCGACAAATAAACAGGTGGTCGACCAAGCTGCACTTCTTCGGATGTGCACGCTTGGACAACCGGATGACAAGGATATGAGCGCCGCATCGGGGAAGAGGAAGACGGACAGTCACTCAGATTTCAGATACCCACCACGACCCCGAGAGAATGAGATCCAAGTTGGCAGAAAACCCTCAAAGCCATACGACCACTCGTCGATATTTATTGTCAAATTCCGTAGGTGGATATGCTATAATTTTCCGTTTGAGGATTTTCTCGGTCTTACTAGTCTGCTAAACGATAGCAATACAATTATACTTCACATGCAGGCAGAATGTCGAATATATAATCGAAAAGCCTGGTGTGGTGGTCAGCGCTGAAGCCGGTGTTAATTGCCCGATTTTCATGTTTAACGACGGACAGTCCAGCTTAACAAGCATATAGTCATATCGCGATCTTCCTTGCTCTTTGAGGCTCTTTCCAACAAATTTTACTTGTGCCAATCTGTGTGTATACGTGCACAGGGGAAATCACGCCTAAACAGTTGCCCAATTCATCTGGCTTTTAATAAGTCACTTAATCGGATATCAGATATTATGTGTTAAGATAATATCATAGAAAAACAATATAATCTTTGGTTCATTAGTGTTACTTTAAAGATTATCTCTTGGGTTTTGCATTATGAAAACTATCATCATCATCACCATCATCATCATCTTCATCATCATAATTCGAGCTGATTTAATTTGAAGCCACTCTGCCAATCAGGACGATTTCTCATATTCTTGGCTGCTTGTATCTGAGTATGCTCATTTGTTCAGACCTATTGGTCGTTTTTTAAACACTCGCTACGTATCTCATGAGAAACGTGTGTATTACATGGGATGTGAAATAATATTTTTTTTATAATATGAAGCCATTAGGTTTCTGAAATTTTACGATATATCAATGTTTTTCTGGCTTATTTAATTTCGCTATCACTTTTTGTTATATTTGGATCTATTACTAAATATTTGGAGTGTTTATATTTGAGAAAATTAGTAAATATTGAAGGCGTTTATACCTAAGTCAATTAGAAAATACACAAGAAAGTAGGGTTTGAAAAGAGAAATGAAAAAGAAAAGATAGAATGGCAAAAGGTGAACAAAACAGAAAAGAAAGGAAGAAAGCACTAAAAAGTAAAAGAGTGGATATAATGAAAGATTAAATGAATATGGCAGTAGAAAGAAAGAAAGAATGAAAGAAAGAACGAAAAAAAGAAAGAAAAGTAGAAAAGAAGCGAGGAAATATATAACGAAAGGGTGGGAAAATGAACAAAGAAAGAAAGAAAAATATAAAAAACAGGAATGACATATAGAAGGAAAACGAAACGAAAGTAAAGGAAGTAAAATAAAATAAACATGCGAGAAGAAGGAGAAACAAGCATTGAAATAAAATGGAAGGGAAAGAGAGAACTCAATAAAAATTAAATATGAGCAAAGAAAAAGAAAGTGAATATGAATGAGTTGAAGGAATGAAGAAAGAAACAATGAATGAAAGAAATTACAGTACTGAAAAGGAAAACATTTATTTCTCTTCTTGGTGGGTGGATGAAACGGCTAAGAAAAAGGAAGACTTGGAAAAGAAGATAAAGAAAAAAAGAAATAAAATGGTGATAAAAAATATGAAGAACATTGAAAAATTTGAAAAGACATGAAAGAGAGGAAAGAGAAGAAAAAAAATGAGCGTAAAAGAAAAACATCGAAGTTGTTCGACAGATTTATTTACTTCTCTTTGGCTAAATCAAAATTTGTGCAGCTTTTGCTGCTCGAAAAATCTTGAATTGATTATCAGGAAAGCAATGGAAATCTATTTGCAAATTGAACTCTTTTTCCATCGAAACATGATCGAAGAATCACTACCCTTCTAGTTGAACTCCTTCAAAGAAGATTGTAACGGACAAAGAGGACAACGAAAATCCTGTTGTGCCAATTATCCGTCGAGTGTAGACCTCTTTCTACTTCAGTGAGGAGCGTTCGAAACAACAATTCAATTTTGAGACGATCTAAATCCCAGCAAGCGATGCACAGCGCTCTCTAGAACTTCCATCTTGACTTCTCTAATTAACCTGAGTTTCTAAAAATCAATGTTGACGTTTTTAAGGGCTGCCCAAGAAGCAAATCGAAGCCTCAAATAGCAACAAATGGAGAGAGTTCACATATGAACTTTACTTTAGTAGAAGTAAAAGGGTTTTAAGGTTCTCAAATGGAAACTGAATTGTTTATCTCCGCTTAAAAATTATGATGTGTACCAATTATTAAAGCCCATTTGAAATCATTACGTTTTCAAAAAGCATTTTTTTAATCGTTTCATCCGAAGAAAGACAATAAAGCCACTAAGTTTACGGAGTGTTAGAGAATATAAGAAAATATTAAGGGGAGAGAAAAATTAAAAAAAAAACAAGAATTAAGAAGACAGAAGATAATGATTGACATTGCATTTAGATTTTTTGTAGATCAAACTTGAATGTGAAGCAAGTAGCTGGAAGAGAGATCCACAAGCAAGAAGTGCGATAGAAGACACTTCTAGCATAGAAATTACGGTTACATCTAGCTATTTCAACTGTCAAACCGTGAAACCTTGCCGCCAATCTAATACTGTTTTTAAATTCATAAAGTCTATATACCATTGAGGAAAGTTTATAAAAATGTCACCTTAAAGCTACATTATGGTGGCGGAAAAGTGACAGAAACAAGTTTACGAAAAGATGCAGATTCTTCTTTGGTTTTTATCAAGAACCTGAACATATATGGTAACTATATTCAAAGAATGGACGGATGGCAGACATCATGTAAAATAGATTTTAGAGAGAAAAATTGTCTAGTACAACACAGTGAAGCTACTTTCTTATTTGACATAATCTTTCCACTTAATGTCAATAGAAAATGTAAGCCCGAGAAGGTGCAACGAGTCCCTCTCCAAGAGGTTAGCATTAGCCATGCTATGGAAGGCAGAAAGGAGTCTTCTCTGAGGATTGATAGAGAATGTGACGTTAAAATTAACAAGCTATTCCCTACCAAAGTTAACAGCAGATTGTAGTTAATTTTTGAGATCAGCTGCCAATTTCACATTTTCGAACTGATAAGACAATTAAGACCGGAGTAAATATTTCTATCTACAGCATAGATAACGAGTTGAGAATTGATGCTATCAGGAAGGTCGTTGATAAAAATTAGAAACAGCGTAGGTACAAAGAATAGATCCCTGGGAGACACCTGCATTAATGCAGAAAATTTTAGAAGAGTGGGCGTTCAGGAGAACTTTCTTTTCGCAATTTTATAAAAAAAAAACAACAAAAAAAAAAATTCGTCTAGAAATAACATAAGTTTTGTAATTCTGAAGAAAACACCTATTTCAAAACCTGTCAAATGCCTTCGAGATGTCCAAAGCAATAGTCAACATTTTTACCATTCTTGTCTAAATCCTGATAGACTTTTTCAACAAAAATCGTTAAGACATCAGCCGTTGACCTAGAGAAGCGAAATCCATATTGCGTATCCTAAAAGAAGACTCCGGGATGTTAGATACTTGACCAATTCATAGTTGATTAGGGCATATAATATATTGCCAAAAATATTTTTTTAAATTTTCAGCCATATTTGCATATTGGATCAGTATGCTTATGAAGCAAAGTTGAATAACTTTCTTTTAAGGATAAAAGAAAGAAAATATCCTAACAAATAAATCAACCCTGCCACGTATACAGGTTTACTCATCTCCATGACCTTTGTATTCCATTTGTAAGGGAGAAGCTTCGCTTAAACGGCATCTTCTCACGACTCCTCAGAGAAAGTTTCTCCGAATGCTACAATATGAATCTCTTCAAGTCTAGGTTAATGAATCGTCAATTCTATTATCCTTATGATATGCGCTTCTTACGTTCTTCTCTTACACACTTACAGGAAACCTTTTGTCTTTTAGCGAACACGTGATCATAAACTGCATAGAAGTAATAAGCAAATAAGTCACTCTTCGCTTGACCGACCAAGGGCAATAAAAGCAGCTAGTACATACTATATGCCTTGTGCTGTTTAACACCACGAGCAGAATTTTTCTTTTTCTGGAGAAAAGACATTTAATTTGATTTTCATTTAGACGCAGACAGACCAACTTTAGTATATTGGTAGAAAGAAAGTTGAGAAACTAACGTAATGACGCATCCGACTAACGAACATCGACAGTTGTCGCCAAACACATTTCCGAACCATTATGACTTTCACGATTAGAACAGAGAAGTTGGTAGAAGAACCTAGAAACACATACCTGAGCAAGATATTATGACAGTGTCCGGATATTTATAAATTTAAAAATGCATATATATTTAATACTTATCAAAGTTTTGAGATCAGGTGACGCGACCTGGTCAGTTGATTTTCACTTTGAGATGATAACCAGTTAAAGAAATATATTTAGATATTGATATAGAAAAAGTATTGAATTTTTATGTATTATCAGTCCTTCTATATGACAGTAAATGCAGGACAATCTCAACACAGATGAAAAAGAGACAGAAACAGAAATATGGTTCTACAGAAAGATGCTGAGAATGTATTAGATAGAAAAATGAAGTTTTAGAGAAAATGGAACCAAAAAGAACACTTATACTTAACATCAAGAAGAGGCAGTTGAAATGTCTAGAGTAAATAATGCGGAAAGACGGTTGGAGAATTTTATACTCACAAAACAGAGGAATAAAAATGGTAAGGAAAACAACGTATAACCTACAACTCAGCTTGAGTAAATGGATGGCGGAATAAGATTTAGGAGTGATAACAGACAGACGTTATTAAGAGCTACAAAGGAGAGGAAATTATGGAGCGCCATGAACATTCCAATGGCGTACGGCATAAAGAAGAAGACTAAAGTTAAGTGTGTGGAATCGCCACTCAAATTCTCACGGTGTCTATTCTGTGTCCATCGCTTAAAGCTATTTGAAAAAATGTGAATCCATCTTCTTTCAGTAGATAAATAGCAGGGTAAACGTGGACTTTTTGCCTTGGTTGGCAACCATTCTACAGGCAGAAACTCTGATAATAATAGTAGCGTAACCAGTTACGTGAAAGAAATCTGAATTCCAAACCAGCTTTAAGAGAAATGGGTCCCGCCAGGCTACCTTAAAATAGACTGAAGGTTGCAGTACATGTGGTTCTCTCCACAACCTAAATGTTATCAAAATCTACTAACAAATCATTCACCAAAAACAAAAAGATACTCGAAACCCTGGATGTAATGTCATATTTTTAGATTTTCTTTCTAACGCAAGCTTCACTGCTTGTCTGTTAAACTAGGCGTTGATTTGTCTCGTAAGCAAAATCAGTTGGCATGGCGCTCAGTTTGATAGTAATTCATTTGAAACAACGACAATTACTGTCAGACTGGAAAACATACATGAGTCTGAACTGTTTTCGTCGTCTCCGTTTCATCTCCGATAACATATGGTGTAAACTAACTTTCAATGATGTAATGGCTGCTAACTGCCGATGACAATCGACATTAATGATCATGTCTATTGTCGGTAGAACTAGGCAAAAATGTCGCACATCAGTAAGAGTTGTTAAAACTGAGCTATGTAAAAATCAATAGATTTATTGAATGTAATCCAAGGCTAATGATATATTATTAATCGATAATATATCGATTCCTTTCATTGGCGTCTTAGGTATGACAATAAACTACACCCGGCAGCAGGGCCTTTGAATAGGAGATTTTGAGGAGCGTGAAGCCACCTCTTAATTGCTGTTGTTTTCAGGTCCACTTTGACCTTGGGTGGTAGTACCTGTTAGGTTCCCAGCAGTGGGCAAATAATTAACCCCCTCCCCCAAATTGGGGTCAAAACACCATGAAAGCATAAAAATAGATTTTTATATTAAAATTACCGGCAATACATTTTTGAAAAAAAATATTAACGAAAATTTGGCTCTCGACAAAAAGAATCTTTACAAAAATACGTGAATGAAAACTGATTTTCTACAAATAATACATATTCTATTCATACAAACCTATCCTAAAATCGCAAAATAACTGATTGAGATTGATATATCGTAAAACAAAATAAACCAAAATAAACCTTTCATTGATCATAATCGAAAGTTGACGGGGAATTTTGATTTATTTTTTATATATTATTAATTTGAAATAAATTTGATTCATTATTTATGAAACTAGTGGCGTGTCTAATTTTTATTTATTAAACAGTTGGGGCGTCTATTTTAAATACGAAGTGTCCACTATCTCTAATAACCATTGAAGTAATAGAACTGTTAGAGTAAAAATAAAATCATTAAGTCTTCAGAAATGCCTCTTGCACTCATCCAATCAGATTTATGTTGTAAATTACCATATATCCAGTTATAATTCTTAAGATATACTACTTGATTCATCCTAACCTCCTCCTGATTATTATAGTCAAATGTTTCGGTCATCGTATCCGTCAACCCTCTTCACGTCGATTTTTTCGGAATTTTTTTTATTCAAACCATAAGAATAGACCATTCCTCCACCGATAATTCTAAGAAAGATGAAACATATTAATTAATTATTTTATTATAATCTTCTGTTACTTCGTCCCTGAGGTGTGGTTTCTTTTCAATTCGCAAAATTGACATCATTTTGTAGTCTAATAACATAACTAATTCTCGTTCATCATAATAACATACTAAAATTTGAATCATTTGCAAAGGATAGAAAAAGAATTATAACAAT